TTGACACTTTCTACATGTATTTCACCCACTTAACCTCTGCTAAATATTGGAGTAAAATTTAGTTTTTTGGGGTTTTTGGCACACAAACTTATAACAAAGAACTTCTCATGTGTATTTTGTAAAGTTGGTGTGTGCTATTCCTGTACAAGGTTTTATTTTGTGTTCAGTTACTTCTGCTGAGTACAACGATACCCCCATTGTATGTCTTTGGCACTATTTCGTGAAGCTACAGTGCCATATAGGAGACCTGTCCGTTTGAACATTTACAGTAGAATTTTGAGAGGCGGATTTAATGGGCCTGTGCTTCAATTTGGTGTATGATAGCAGTTTGACTGTTCAAAAAACCCCCACAAAGACCTACCATTTGTAAAGTAGACACTCCAGGGTATCTCATATGGTGCATATTTGTGCCTTAACATGTATTTTTTCGCAATATATGCCATTATGTGGTAAAAAATAATTTTGTTGCATTTTTACATAAGTTGCATTTAGCAAATTTTTGTATATTTCATATGTGCCACTAAGTTCAAACCCCAAATTATGCTCAGCTAAGTCTTCTGAGTAAAATGACACCCCATATGAATGTCTTTGGCACTATTTCGTGAAGCTACAGTGCCATATGGGAGACCTGTCCTTTACAGTATTCACAGTAGAATTTTGAGAGATGGATTTAATGAGCCTTAGCTTCCATTTGGGGTATTATAACAGTTTGACTGTTCAAAAAAGCCCCACAAAGGCCTACCATTTGTAAAAGGAGACACTCCAGGGTATCTTATAAGGTGCATATTGTGCCTTAACATACCCCCATTTTTTCACCAATATATGCCAAAGTATGTGGTAAAAAATTATTTTGTGCATTTTACATAAGCATTGCATTTTGCTGGTTTGTATATTTCATATGTGCCACTAAGTTCAAACCCCCAAATTATGCTCAGCTAAGTCTTCTGAGTAAAATGGCTTTTATATGAATGTCTTTGGCACTATTTCAGTGGCTTCTGGGTACCATATAGGAGACCAAGCCATATCAGTTTTTACCGAACTTTGAATTTTGGCCCTGGGCCTATGTGCAATTTCCAAGCATCTTCGCAGGTTTTAAATTCAAACTACCCCACAAAGGCCTACCATTTCTTAAAGTAGACACTCCAGGGTATTTCAAAAGGTATATTTTGAACCTTAGCGTGGGATCATTTGTCCGCTAGCTTGTACCAGGTGTAGTGGTAATAAGCGTTTTCTGCCTTTTGACATACAAAGTGAGTTTTGCACAGTATATTTTGCAAACCTTATGTGTGCTACGACTGTATAATAGTTCATATGTTGCTCAGCTATGTCGGCTGAGTACAGCAATACCCCCGTATGTACCTTTGCCAGGTATGTGTGGACATCGGAGAGGCACATTTGGGACACAGCCATTCCAGTTTTTTTCAAACTTTGAATTTTTATGCTGTGCCTATGTCCCATTTTAGAGTATTTTACCAGGCTATATAATCCAAATTCCCCATAAAGCCATACCATTTCGTAAAGAAGACATCCCAGGGTATTTCAAAAGGCATATTTTGAACCTTAGCGTGGGATCATTTTTCCGCTAGCTTGTACCAAGTGTAGTGGTAATAAGCATTTTTTCTGCCTTTTTGACATACAAAGTGAGAGTTTGCACAGTATATTTTGCAAACCTTATGTGTGCTACGACTGTATAATACTTAATATGTTGCTCAGCTATGTCGGCTGAGTACAGCAATACCCCCGTATGTACCTTTGCCAGGTATATGTGGATGTTGAAGGGGCGCATTTGAGACGCAGCCATTCAGTTTTTTCTAACTTTGAAGTTTTACGCTGTGTCCATGTTCCAATTTGGAGTAGTTTAGATGGTTGGTTATTGAAACTTTCCCACAAACACATACTATTTATTAAAGAATACACCCTGGGGTAATTCAAAAGGCATATTTTGAACCTTGGCGTGGGATAATTTTTTCTCTAGTTTGCTCCAGGTGTAGTGGTAATGAGCGTTTTTAAAATGTATTTTTTTACTTTTTATAACTTTTTTTACTTTTAAAAACTAGTTTTTAAACTTTTGTTTTGCTTATAAATTTTTTTTAACTTTCCTAAACTTTCTTAAAACTTTTTTACAGATTTAACATTTTTCTAAGCTTTTTTTTTACCGTTAACCCCTAACTAGCAGTACGCAGCAGTAACAGTAAATTCCCCATTTTCCCATAACTCCCACCCACCCCAGCTAGCAAAATATATAGTTATAAAATATTTAAATTAATTAATTAAATAAATTGAACCCCTGAGGGTTAAAAAAATAAATAAAAGTTAATCCTCAGGGGTTAAAAAAAATTAGATCACAGTATAATACTGTGATCTCTATTTGATCGCTGTAGGCAGTGATCGACTGGCAGGGAAGGGGTTAATTTTATTTGGACTAGGTAAAGTGTGTTTTTTTTGTTTTTTTTACTTAAATGTTATTAAAACATTTTTTTAAGCTTAATTTTTAACTTTTTAAAGTTTCTTTTAAAACTTTTTTTAACGTTAACCCCTAGTTAGCCTAACGCCAGATCCCCCAGTTCCCCACTAACTTCCACCCACCCCAACTATCTAAATATATAATTAAAAAATAATTTAATTAATTAATTTAATTAATTTAACCCCTGAGGGTTAAAAAAAAAATCAGATCATAGTAAAATGTAATCCCTGCCAATTGATCACTGTAGTCAGTGATCAATTGGCAGGGAAGGGGTTAATTTTTTATTACAATAGGTAAAGGGGGGTGGGACTTTAAATTAACTTTATTTTTTTTACAGCAGGGGGCAGGATCAGCACTGTTCCAGCTCCCTGCACTTCAGACAGAACCAGGAAGTGCAGGGAGCCGGAAGGTAAGTATACAGAGCACATGTGCTTGCTCTGACTTGCGGTCAGAGCGAGCACATGTGCTGGGCAGCCTGACCGGGTGCTCCCGGTATGCCTCTAATGCAGAGGCATACCGGAGCACCATTAACCCCGCGATCGCCGCGATAGCGGCGATCCGGGGTTAATTTTACCGCGTGACGGACGAGGTCCGTCACCCGTCGTTAAGGGTCTCCCCTCTGTGACGGACCTCGTCCGTCACCCGTCCTGAAGGGGTTAAACTCTGCAAAAAAGTCAGGGACAAAGAAGGCAGGTTTCTCCTACTACATTGCACTATAAATGAGGACCCATTCACACTACTGAATGTATATGGCCCACATGAGAACCAGAAAGACTTCATCTCCAAAATTATTTCTCTAGCCCGCAAATTTCCTTGCAATAACTTGATTATTGGGGGGGACACAAATTTTATACTTGATGGTGCTGCTGACACGACATCCACATATACAGTGAATCGCTCCACCTCACGAAAACACACCCACATCACACAACAAATACGGCAAACGTTACATGGAGCAGGCCTTCTAGACATATGGAGGATATTACACCCATCAGAAAAAGATTTTACTTTTCACTCACAAGTTTACAATTCATACTCCAGAATAGACAGATTCCTAATACCCACCGCTATGGTTCGTACAGTCTGCGATGTTCAGATAGGGACGATAACGTGGTCAGACCATGCACCTATACTACTCACGATACAGGAACATTTCCCGCATAAAGGCCAGGGCACATGGAGAATCAACGAAACACTACTACGCGACCCACACATAGTTAAAAGCATTGAAGAAGACATTCACACTTTCTTTGACCTCAATGACAAGAGAGAGACCTCCGTTGACACAAACTGGCAAGCGCATAAAGCTGTAATCAGAGGGAGCCTGATTAAACATGCCAGCTATAAAAACAAACAAAGAACTGCTAAACACACAGACCTCATAAAACAAATAACGGAGCTGACCCATGCAAACAAATTAAATCCTTCCCAAACGCATTACGAGGCCCTTAGAACTTTGCAAACGCAACTAAACGATGCAGAGATAGAGAAGACTAATTACATCTTACACAAACACCGACATAAATTTTTTGCACATGGTAATAAATCTGGCGCTGCATTGGCAGCGAAGCTCAAGGAACGCCTGCCAAACTCCAAAATAGCCTATCTGTTGACAGCTGACAAACAAAAAATTTTGCACCCGCAACATATAGTAGACAAATTTGCAAAATACTACAGTACTTTATACAATCTCAAAGAAGCAGAGGATACACACGTCCCTACTCCCATCCAGATTCAAGATTTCCTATCTAAAATCAATCTACCCACTCTCACAGACGAAGAAATAGCACAAATCACGAGCACATTCGCGGAATCAGAGGTGGCTGCAGTGATAAATAAATTACCCACACATAAATCGCCAGGCCCTGACGGTTTCACGAACCTATACTACCAAACATTTGCAAAGGCTTTACTACCACACATGACACAGCTTATCAATCACTGCTACACCAACGGTTTCATGCCGAAAGAGATGCTTCAGGCACATATTTCCACATTGCCGAAACCAGGCAAACCTGCCGACGTATGCCCAAATTTCCGACCCATATCCCTCCTGAACTGCGATACTAAGATTTATGCGAAATTGATAGCAGAGAGACTGAAAGGTATACTGACACGTATTGTACACAACGACCAATCAGGTTTCATTAAACAGAGACAAGGGTCTGACAATACTAGGAAAATACTGAATATTTTAGCCCATATGGAAACCCAACACATGGAAGGTCTTCTCCTAGCGCTGGACGCGGAGAAGGCCTTCGATAGACTGAATTGGCAGTACATGAAACAGGTGCTGCTTAGGTATGGTTTTCCAACGTCCTTTATCAATGGGGTCATGGCATTATACACACAACCCTCAGCCAGGGTAACCAACGCGGGCTTTGTCTCGAGCCCATTTACTATCACAAATGGGACGAGGCAGGGGTGTCCACTGTCACCCCTGTTGTTCGTACTATCCCTGGAACCCTTAGCGCATATAATCAGAAACCACACTCAGATCAGGGGCATACAGGTGGGAACTGAGGAATTTAAATTGGCTATGTTCGCTGACGACATTTGTATAACCCTGGCAGATCCAGGTGACTCCCTGACCGAGCTTTTGGGTGTGCTCCGGGAATATAGTACAATCTCATACTATAGACTTAATCAAGCGAAGACCCAGGCCCTACCAATTAGGCTGCAGACGGAGATGGTACGATCACTGAAGCACAAACATAAATTTGACTGGAGAAATACCCACATAACGTATCTAGGAGTGAAAATAGCACCCACACTTAGGGGAATTAGCACACTCAACTACTCCCCGCTACCACAAATATGCCGGCAATTATTACACAAATGGAAAGATGTATGGTTATCATGGCTAGGAAAGATTAATGCTGTAAAAATGGTGATCCTCCCCAAACTTTTATATGTGTTTAGGATGCTCCCTATTCCCCTATCTGCCTCAATAAGCAACGTCTTACAACGTCTTATAAACAAATATACGTGGGAAAATAAGAGACCACGCCTTCCGAACGTACTGCTACAAATTCCAGTAAACCGAGGAGGGACAGGTCTCCCTAACATAGCGCTATACCACAAAGCTGCAATACTAGAAGCGGCAATCAAACTACATGCCCCCGCAAATATGTTCCAATGGGTAGATATGGAGAATAATTATTCCCCGCGCTCCTCGCTGGTAGATATCCTATGGACACCCAAACATCTCAGGGATAAAAACGCCACAATGCTACCTACATCTAGAACCACAATCCAAATATGGGACTATCTCCATAAAAGATTTGAGAATATTACGAAATTCTCTCCATGGGCCCCGATAACAACGCTCCACTCCATCTCCCCATGGCTATCGTTACATAAATGGAAAGACAAGGGCATCACACACATCACCGATATCTATCAAAATGGAACCGTGTTGTCCTTCCCTGACATTCAACTCAAATATGCCTTACCATCTAACTACATATTCCCATACCTCCAACTCAAAAGCATAATCAACGACAGGGTCCACACCCAGACTCAACATACTCCCGCTCCTAACCCAGACCTTATAGCTATATACAATAGGTGCCGGAACACACCAATCAAAGCCAAAGCTTTATCCCTTGGATATGCTGCCTTAGGACAACACCCCCTACTAACGAATTTCGCTTTTACAATACAATGGCATAAAGAAGGACTCCCACAGCTAAATAATGAGCAGTGGCTACAGTCACTTGGGGCACTCAAAAGAGTGACTTCTTGTTACTCACACATAGAGGCACATAAGAAACTTGTATATCGGTGGTACCTCACACCCCACAAACTACATAAAATTTACCCAGCAACACCCAACACGTGCTGGCGATGCTTTCAAGAGGTAGGGACGATGAAGCATGTCTGGTGGGATTGCCCAAACATTATTCCACTGTGGACTGAAGTACAAAGACTGGGCAATTCTGTAGGACTTATGAAGGGAACTCTAACTCCCACCATGAGTCTGTTGTTTCTGATGCCTGCTCAAATTCCTGCACAGGACAAACAACTACTGATTATGATGGCACATGCTGCGCGCAATCTTATTGCATGCAACTGGAAACAACAGACTTGCCCGAAGCTACAGCAACTACTCCACAAGACACAACAGTATCTGAGACATGAAATGATGATCACTACGACACCCAGACGCAGAGATGTCACACACAATAATTGGCAAAAATGGAGTAAATACATAACTGATAGTACGCACGCAGGGTAAATTGCCAGACACACATAGGCAGCCTTACAAAAGAGGACGGGCTCAAACACGACATGACATAAGAGACACGACTGACTAAAACTGGCTGGATACACAGGTGTATGTATTAACGAAAGCACAAACGTAATGTTTGTAACAAAGTGTATGTATCTGTATGTATCTGAATACTGATAACTATTACACTGTACCTATCTACTATATGTTTGTGGATACACCCCTCCCCTTTTTTCCTTTCTGTACCCCCCACATGGTTGTTTGGAAAACTCAATAAAATACGAATATGAAAAAAAACCCAAAAAAAACCCACTGTTTTCACTGTTATAGATTGAATAGCAGTCAGTGTCCTTAAAGCGGGTGTGTTACGCTAACAGTGGATACGGTGACCAGTGCCACCACTTAGATCTGGTGACACAAAGCTTGTATTTAAAAACAAAAAACACTTTTTTCACTGTTATAGATTGAATAGCAGTCAGTGTCCTTAAAGCGGGTGTGTTACGCCAACAGTGGATACGCTGACAAGTGCCACTAATTAGATCCTGTGTCACAATAGCTTGGATTTAAAAACAAAAAACTTTTTTCACTGTTATAGATTGAATAGCAGTCAGTGTCCTTAAAGCCGGTGTGTTACGCTAACAGTGGATACGGTGACCAGTGCCACCACTTAGATCTGGTGACACAAAGCTTGTATTTAAAAACAAAAAACACTTTTTTCACAGCTATAGATTGAATAGCAGTCAGTGTCCTTAAAGCGGGTGTGTTACGCTAACAGTGGATACGGTGACCATTGCCACCACTTAGATCTGGTGACACAAAGCTTGTATTTAAAGTACTTTTCACTGTTATAGATTGAATAGCAGTCAGTGTCCCAAAGTTTTCGGTGTGTTACGGTGTGTTACGCTAACAGTGGATACGGTGACCAGTGCCACCACTTAGATCTGGTGACACAAAGCTTGGATTTAAAAAAAAACCACTCTTTTCACTGTTATAGATTGAATAGCAGTCAGTGTCCTTAAAGCGGGTGTGTTACGCTAACAGTGGATACGGTGACCATTGCCACCACTTAGATCTGGTGACACAAAAGCTTGTATTTAAAAAAAAAAAAAAACTTTTTTCACTGTTATAGATTGAATAGCAGTCAGTGTCCTTAAAGCGGGTGTGTTACGCTAACAGTGGATGTGGTGACCAGTGCCACCACTTAGATCTGGTGACACAAAGCT